TTTTCACAGTTTATTGAACTCAATCGGTCGTACATTAACTTAAAGGCAATAAATACACAATGATTACGAATTAAATGATCTATACCGAATGTAACTAAACTAGATTCACATAGCGCAATCCCTTCAGCAAGCAGCCGCTGAAGCTGTCACCGTCGATGAATTGAATTCCGTCCACCAGGCAGGATTGCAGGCTGCAAGGATACTCGGCACCGTAGGCGCTGCTCTCCCAGCGCAGCTGCAGCACGTAATGCACCTCCGGTGTCAGGACGCAGGCCTTGTCGCGACTCCAGCTCAGATGCAAATCACAATTGTATTTCGTTGTTTGATTCTGGATAATGTGTGTCCACACGGCCTGATCGCCGCCATCGGGATACAGATCTATGCGCAGAGATTCGCGATACTCTTGTGGCACATAGCCCACATGGCAGGTGAGATTTGGTGCCAGCCGGCTGTTAAGCACCAGTCCCAGCACCGAGATGAATCTGGAGCACTTCAAGCCCAGCCGCCAGACATGCGACTCGGCATCAACGGTGAATGGGCGGCAAGCCTTGTAGTAACAGCGCTCGACGAGCGTGGCAGGTGGCGTGGGTGCGGCACTGTCAGCTAGATCCGCTGATCCCGAGACCTGCTGCCAGGTGGCGGCATCCCCGAGCCCTGCATCATCGCACTCCTGCTGCGTCCACTCATAGACATACCAGAGCAGCAGCTTGTGTGGTTCTTTGCACGCAGCTATGATGCTCTTGACGCATTCCTTGGAAACGTGCACGTAGTGCTCCTTCAAATAGCTCATGTACTGATCGTTGTTCACACAGCAGCGCATGAAGAATGACATGCAGACATCCAACAAACTGTCCAGTCCCATGCAGACACTCAGCTCCAACGCCGGCAGGACGTTGGAGAAGCGCAGTTTGCGCGTTATAGCGAGCAGAGCATCGGCTATAAGCTGATCCAGCAGATACTTCTCGGCGGCGTAGTACAACTCGATAGCCGCCTCCAGCTGCATGCACTCATAGTCCACGCTGCCTGTGTAGATGTACTCCATCAGAACTTTGAAGATTGGCGCACTGATGTCATGTATCTCGATCTCGGGCTCCAGCTCCTGCAGCGGCCCATAGAACATGGCCTCGAAGACTGGACTGGCGGCGCTTAGGATCAGCTTGTGTCCCTTCAGCTGCTGTTCGCATACATGGAACACGCAGTCCGTGTGCTTTTCGGCATGCAGCAGCTCTGCATATCGCCTGCCTAACAGATTGCCCACGTTCGCCTGCTCCTTCCGCTGCGCAACGGCCAGTTCCAAAGCTGAGCCGGCGCTCATCTGTAAGCAGAGGTCATGCATGTGTGTAAATATATTTAAATAATTGCGTTTCAGTAAGACCTATAAACCGGTTCTATTCTATCCCAATACAGCATCGATCACTATCAATCTCTAGCTTCGCCTTTCCCTTCGTTTGCTACGCAAATCAGGCGTAGCCGACACGTGTCTGCAGAAATTATAAATTATTTAAAAGATGTTTAGCTAAAGGTTTGCAAATTTAAAAAAATTCAAAAGATAACAAGCTAGATAGCCTCTTTTTGAATATTATTATGATATGGGGTATATTGATATTTATTATTTTAATATTTTAGAAAATTACTACTAGTCCATATCTCTCGTTTATGAACCAGTATATAAAATTAGGTTAAATTCCGGTAAAGGTATAAAATACCGTTATATATTTATATAATATAATATAATATGTTAATATTTTCCTTTCTGGCATATTCAATATGTTTCATTGCTATGCATTTCCTCGTTCTTTTATGAAATGTTTTTCTTAAGAATCACAAAAAGCTGTAATCTGTAATCTTATAACGCACATCTCTCATTTATTAAATAATCTCCATCTATAAAATATTTGTTATATTATTGCTCAATGCTTGCCAGGTCTATAGTAGAGTAACAAATAATATGACGATATTATTAATTTGTGATCAGAAATTTGTGACCATTTGTGTTCATGCTATCTCTAAATCCTTTGATATTCCCAAGTATTGAATATAAAAGATAAGATATCTGATTTTATTGTTCCACGAACAAATTTTCACATTATCTTGAAATCTTATAACAAATCAACATAGAGAACTAACTGATAAATATGAGCTCTTTTAAAAATATAGAATTTTCTACTTTTTAATTTTGTTCAAATAGCAAATAATTCATTTTATTTCCTGGGAATGCTCTGAATATAGGTATATACATACACATATGCATTACTTAAAAGCCTAATCTGTGTTTATCGATAAGAATTGCCACTTACATATGTAGGTATAAATCAAATTTTATTGCTACTCAAAATTCATGACGTAAGCGCTGGCGAAATTCCTATAGAGACTCTATTAACCATTCAAAGCATGCATCTGTCTATACTATATATACTTTGTTTATCAATAACAACCATAAGATATAAATACATATGTATATAATGATGTATATACATATATACTATATAACTAATATATTTGCACTCTATCAATATAAAGCCGGCATGTCGAGCCCATTGCTCGTGCGTTAATGAATGTGTGTGTGTTTGTTGGGATAGTGTGTGATTCTCATTATTTATATTTTGCGCATGGGTAACAAATAACCGGTTTAAAGTGTTTACATAGATCTTAAAGCCAGGCATATGTCGATGCGAAATCAGTGCGCTTTACAATACATTAGTATATAAATTTATTACTATATTGTATTTGAATATGTTATAATATATATAGATATTTTAATATTTTGTTTATATATTTTAATTGATATATTTATATGAAACTGTCTAAGGAACTGATAGAATCTTATTGTGTTGGGTACTTGGACAGTATGGCTTTGCGTCTGGACGAGAGCTACTCATATTCCGTACGCAGATTTTATTAAAGTGATCGATTGTCACTCCAGCCGAGGACTGCAATATTTACCTTTGTTTATTTTTGTATAAATAATTCACCGATTTATGATAGCTGGTGCGTAAATTGTTTTTACTTAAATCTCTCTGAGAATCGATTTGCGATCGTGATTCGTGATTCGTGGGTCGGAAATCGTAGCTGAGAACTTTACATAAGCACTTTCGTTGCTATTTTCTTTCCTTTGCTTATTATAATATTTATTTTTATGGTTTTTCTCGCGACCTTTGAATTATATATTTATTTTGTTGATAATTCTCGTTGAACACTAAAGAGCACACCTTTTACATATGTATGTGCGCATAACACTTGGCACTGTGACAAGATCTTGAGTATTTCTAATTTAATTAGGTACGCTGAACTGTTTTATTTTATTGTATTTTTTGTAATACAGGTGAAACGACAAAAGTGGCAAATTTCATTGAAGTTCGCACGATCTAAAAGCTAATTAGTTTGTTCTGAAAAGGAGCTGAACTTGACCGTTTTGCCAGCTGCTACTACGAGCGGTATTCTGAGAGCTCTGATGGAGGCACGAACCGTTCAGCGCAAAGCGCCACCTTCAACTGATCAAGTGCAAACGAAACTCTATTGCTGACGCTCTCTGGAGCGGAGCTCTCTTTATTTGCTCACGCTCTTGGTCTTGCTCTAGCTTTTGCTGCATGCGTTCCAATGTGCTGCTATTCGACTCTCTCACGCTCTCCCTCTCCCACTGCTGGACAAACAATGCGTTGGACACTCATCGATTGGCAAGCAGAACTGTTTCTCTCTCTGGAAATTATTTGTACGCTTTGGCTGCTTGGACTCCAGCCTGTTGCTACTTGAGCGTCGAGCCGCTCTCTCTCTCTCTCTCGTTCTCGCTCTATTGAACACTGCTTGGGGGCTCGTTCGCATCTCTCTCTCCCTTCCTAGCTCCCTATTGTAATCTTTATTAAGCATGTGAGAAGTGCGTCTGTTGGTGTGTTCATCCAACATCCAGTTAAGATTACAAATTAAACCTTCATTTTGTGCTGCCAATGATTGGCGTTGCCGAGGCGCAGCCTTGAACCCTTAATAAACTCTTCGGCAGCCAAAGTTATTTCTGTAACTCATATAAAAGCACACTACAATCATTGAGGTATGTTGAAATTATGGAAAATGTTGCAACGAAATGATTATAGAGATAACGAATTGGTAAGTAATACATATATTATTATCAGCAGCAAAAGATATATATACATATGTACATCTTGCAACTAATTTGATTACACTCTGAATATAGCTGAGGCATATTTGAAATATTCACATAAATTATGAACCAATTAAGTTGTAATTATCTATGTATTACTGCTATATACATATACGTATATATAACTGTATTTTTGCCATATTATTATATATTTATCTACTATTTTGTAATTTAATTAATTATAGTCACAAACATTT